ATCAAACCAAATATAGCCATAGTTCCATACAAAAAATCCCTAGCGAATTTCAAATTTTTTTCCCCCAAAAAAAGACAATGTTTCTATATTTTCTGACCAAATGAAGCCGAAAATAGCCACATTTTGTACACCAATCCCAATGACCAAGCTGTCAAAGATCAACGAGGCCGTATCTATTATTTTTCGTCTCCAAATTGCATCAAATGTATACGATTAACGATGTTTATCAGCCATTCGACTTTTCCGACGAAGAAATGAAGATGAGAAATCGTCTGGGAACGCGACCGGCTTCAAAAGACCTTTCGCCGGCACCTTCATTTTGAGAAAGAAAAAAAATGAAAAGACACACATTATTCCCGTAATGGGCTTCTTGAGTATCGGTTTTATTGTGACATATCGGCCCGGGTTATTTGGTCTTTTGTCTCGAGAAATGTCTTGGAATGAAGATTTTTTGAATTAGGCCTTATTTTCTGCACATTTTTGAAGCAGAAATCGAAAAAAAACCTCAAAATTTTCTCACCAAAAACAGCCGCTGAAAAATAGCCTAGTGCCCTCCAGGGACAAATTTTCGAATAGCTGGATTTCGAGAGCGTTTAAGTGGCCCCTTCAGTGGTTTACGTTTCAGTAGTCACTATAGTGGTTGAAGCTGAAAAAGCCTCATTTTCTGCACATTTTTAAGCGAAAATTCAAAAAAAAAAGTCGAGAAAGGTTTTGAAAAAAAGTTTTTTGGATTAAAAGCCAAAAAAACCTTATTTTCTGCACTTTTTCAACGGCAAGATTCAAAAAAAAACTTCGAAATTTTCTCACCAAAAATAGCCGCTGAAAATTCGGAAAGTGCGCTCCATGGACAATTTGTCCAAAAGCTGGATTCTGGGGAAGGTTTTAGAGGCCTCTTTAGGGTTTTAACGTTTTAGTAGACGCTATAGTGGTCAAAGTAATGGCCAGTTAAGTGACAAAAATTGAGAGGCCTCTTTAGGGTTCAAGTAGCCGCTCTAGTAGTCGATTTAGTGGGCTCTTAAGTGACAAAATTGAGTGGCCTCTTTAGGAGCCTAACTTTTACTAGCAGACCACTGAAACTACTATAGTTGTCACTAAAATAGTCTCTTCTATAGAGGTTTTAGTGGCCACTTTAGCGTCCTTAGTATCTTAAGGGGTGATTAAATTTTTGTTTTTTTTTCTCAAAAATGCATATTTTTCGAAACATTAAGCTTCTTCCAATCAAAAATGATAAAATCTTGATTTTAATCGGATATTTTTCTAATGGAATTTTTCCCTTCTGCTCATTTTTTTTTTACTAAAAACCGTCCTTTTAAGGACTTTCAAGTGAAGTCTTGGAAAAAATCAAGAAAGAAAAAATTCCCTTACTCACCCCTTTCCTACCAAAAAGATCAAAAAAACTCGCTTTTTATCATGTTTTCACGCCGTTCGTTTGTTTACCAGAAAATGTTATTTTGGATGAAAATAAGGAAACTTTGACCATGTCAATCCGTCAAGTGACAAGACGAATGATTTCTATTTTTTTTTTTAAAAAGGAATTTTTCGGGTAAACAAGGTGATAAGAAGGTTGTAATTGATCGGAATTTGTGAAAAAAGTAGGGATTTTTTCCTTGATTGGCCACTTTAGCAAGCTTTCTTACCCCTATAGGTGTCTCTTATAGCTGCCTCTTTAGGGTCCACTTCAGGGATTTCAAGCTGAAAAGGGCTTTTGATTTTTTTTTTCTATGATTTTAAGGTTAGTAAGTCGTATACGCACCCTAGAGTGGTCACTTACTAAAATTCCTAAATTGGCCTTTTTTGCTATTATAGTTAGGAGCATACTGTGCGTAAGCGTGGGCTCCGATAGTTGTCCCTTTAGGGTCCACTTTATCGATTTTAAGTTGATAAGGTCTTTCGATATTTTTGATGATTAGAAAGTTGAAAGACCTATTGAGACTCCTAGAATGTTCCCTAAAGTGGTCACTATATGAAATTCCTAAATTGGCCACTTTTCAAAACTTTCTTGCCCCTATAGGGGTCTCTTATAGTTGCCTCTTTAGGGTTCACTTTGGCGATTTTAAGTTGAGAAGGTTTTTTGATTTTTTCTATGATTTTAAGGTTAGTAAGACGTCTAGGCACCGTCATCAAGCTCCCCTAGAGGGGCCACTTTTCCAAGCTTTCTCGTTCTTTTAGAAATAGATTAAGTGGTCCCTAGAGGGAACCCTTCGAGGACCATTACGTCAGCCTCTTTAGGGGCCACTCTGGCGATCCTAAGTTAAGTAGGTGTTTTAATTTTCTTTTCTTGATTTGAATGTGAAAAAAAGAAGTGTAGGCAACACCAGAAATTCTTCCTAGAGTGGCCACTTTCTAAGCTCTCTTGTTCCTTTAGGGATATGTTAAGTTGTCCCTAGAGGGGAACCCATCAAGGGCCCTTACGATAGCCTCTTTAGGGACCTCTAGGAAGCTCTATCTTTCCCCTAGTCTCTCTAGTGATGCCTCCGGATCTCCTAAGCACAGGGCTGGAATTCAGGAGGTCCCTAAAGAGGCTACCATATGAGCCCTTGAAGGTTTCCACATACCCCAATAGGCATTACTTTTCCCTCTAACCTCTCTAGGGATCACTCTGGATCTCCTAAGAAACGTGACAATTCATCCCCAAAATCCACATAATCAATCAATCAGTCCGTCTCGGTTTGGCGGTTTGTTTTGATAGGAGGATCACGCGGCGGCGGCGACGGCGACGGCGACAGGCCTTTTTCCGTTCTTCCTATTGAGATCTCCCCAATTGATAATCACATCACGCGCTCCCTAAACCAACCCTTCTGATAGCGAACAAAATAAACGGAACGATTTGCCCTTTTTCTTCCAAGGATTTCGATCCAGATTTGGCTTGTTTGGCTGGCCGCCAAGTGGAACTGATGTCGATGAAATTTGAAATGAAGACAGGCAGATCATTTTGTCAAAAAAATATGAAAAAAAAAAATGGTCGCATTTGGAATGGCTTAACGCGTAACGGCGGCTGAACCTTACGAAATTTCAAGTTTTCGGGTTCGACTGCAGCGCGACCGCAGCGCCTTGAGCCATTCCAAATGCGACCAGAATTTTTCAAGATACATAATTGGACTCTCCTGGTCGATTGAACCGTGTGAAGTTTCAACCGACCACAAAACGACTCGCGAAAATTTCAAGTTTTGGGGTCCAACCGCAGCGCGACCGCAACGCGTTGAGCCATTCCCAATGCGACCAGAATTTTTGAGATATAATTTGACTATGTTGATCGATTGAACCGTGTGAAGTTGCAGCCGACCATAAAACGACTTGCGGAAATTTCACAGATTCGGGCTTAACTGAAGCGCGACCGCAACGCGTTGAGTCATTCCAAATGCGACCAGGATTTTTTGGTATATAATTTGACTATGTTGGTCGATTGAACCTTATGAAGTTGCAACCGACCACAGAACGACTTGCAAAAGTTTGAAGTTTTTGGGTTCGACCGCAACGCCTTGAGCCATTCCAAATGCGACAAGAATTTTCCAAGATATTAGTGGAGTATGTTGGGTCGATTGAACCGTGTGAAGTTGCAGCCGACCACAAAACGACTTGCGAAAATTTCAAGTTTTGGGAGTCGACCGCAGCGCGACCGCAACGCCTTGAGCCATTCCAAATGCGACAAAAATAATTTTGAGTCGAGCTGAAAAAAGCTAGGAGAAAATAGCCGTACTGAAAATGAATGGAAAAAAATCCTAAATAGTTTGCTCCATGGAAAAAAAATTTTAAAAAAATTGGCCGCATTTGGAATGGCTCAACGGCGGCTGATCCCCATGAAGTTGCAGCCGACCACAAAACGACTCGCAAAAAAATAAAAATAAAACCGCAACGCCCTGAGCCATTCTAACAAGAAAAAAATCGTAAGAAAAACTGAACTTTTTGGTCAGAAAATAGCAGAAAAATTAGGGATTGTTTGCTCCATTGATAAATCTTATTAAAAAAATTTTTGAACGAATAATTTCAAATTCCAAAAAAACAAACTCGCAAAAAAAATTATGGAGTATATATTTTTAAACGGATTTTTTTACATTTTTTTATACATCCAGAATGATTTTTTTCAGTAGATGTACTTCAAATAAATTTTTTTCAGATTCTAAAAAGTGAAAAAAAATCTTTCAATTTTTCATTCAAAAAAAGGAAAATATTTGTTGTTTTTTTCGCTCGACAGTCGTTAAATTTTGAGACTGACCCCCTTCATCGAATTTTTTTCAAAATTCAAAGTTCCAATTTTCAAACTTTTTAGAGCTTTTATGAAAAATAAAACAAAAACTTCAATAATTTGAAACAACTTTTGAGCTTCTACTTTTTTTATCAGAGATATGAAAAATTCAAAAATTCGTGGTTTCTTGTCGATTTTACCACTTGTTTCGATGAATTTCCTAATCCGCCAACGTTTTTGAACACGACGGGACCGCTCAGAACAGAAAAAAGATGATGATGGCAGTTTTGGGGGGGAGGAAAAAAAAAGGGATCGATTAATTGGACCGGTCTCGATTTCTCTGATTTATCACACATTCGTGGAATGATAAGGATGTTCGTGTCGGGCGTCCGCGTCTCTTTGCTATTTTGAACCGTTCTCTTTTTTCTTTTTTTCGTTTCTAAAGGACGGATCGATGGATCGGTTAGGGTTATATGGGGATTTGAAGGGATTTGGAGGAATTTATGAAGAATATTTGATTTGAAAAAAGAAAGATTTCTCTGAAAAATTCTCAGAACACTTCTTGATGTACCAGGTGAAGGTTGTGAGAATCTAGACCTGCCAAATTTTTCTAGTTTTTTTGAAAAAAAGAACACCTCAAAGTCAAAGGAAACCCTTAAATTCCGCCAAAAAAAGGTTTTTTTCGATACAAGTGGGAAAATTGGAGTTTAAAAAGAAATTTTTAAAAAAATGATTTTTAAAAGGATTTTTGTAGACCACTGGAGAAGTTGGACGGAAAAAAATTAATAAGAAATTGAAATTTTTCATTTCGAAAAAGATGGATAGATGGGTTTGTTGGGAATATCTGCAGGTATTGGGCAGATTCGAAATTATTTAGTTGAAAAAAATCGGAGTTTTTAAATGGAAACAAATAGGACCTTAAAGTTCGTCTTGAGGCTCTGTAGATCTAAGTGAAGGAGACGAAAAAAATTAACGAAAAAAATTAAAATTTTTTGTAAAAAAAGACTGATGGAAAAAGTCTTTTTATTTTTCAAATCAAAGTTTTATTTATTGTTTAGTCTTTTTTTGACAGCAGAATATGAAAAAGATTTAATCTTTCGAGCTCATTTTTGACCGTTTAAAGGCGCATGGGCAAGGTCTCGAAGCGAAAGAACACGGCTAATCGCTTCAAGACCTTTTCCATGCGCCTTTAAAAACACTCAATTCAAAATTGCCTAGGCAGATCTTATCCATGCGCCTTTAAAAAATCTAAGTTTGAAGGCGTACAGGCAAGGTCTCGGAGCGAATGGAGAAAAAAGGCTCATCGCTTCAAGAGCTTCTCCATGCGCCTTTAAAAACTCTTAATTCGAAATTTCAAAGGCATATATTATCCATGCGCCTTCAAAAACTCTGATTTTAAAGGCGCATAGGCAAGGTCCCGAAACGAATGAAAAAAAAACTGCTTGTCGCTTCAAAACCTTGTCCATGCGCCTTTAAAAAGTTTTACATCGAAGACGCATAAGAAGATATCGAAGCGAATGTAGAAAAAGGCGTATCGCTTCAAGACCTAGTCCATGCGCCTTTAAGAAACTCATTGAAGAGACTATAGCTAAATAATAGTGAAAGAAAAACATGATTTTAAGAAATTTTTCATAAAATTCCCTTGAAAAAACTCATTGAAGAGACTTTTGTTTCAAGTTTGGTCTGTTGCATCGATTTTTTTTCAGGGTCAAAAGTTATTAAAAATTCTATCTTCTCCACGTTTAAAGGCACATAGGGAAGGTCTCGAAGCGATTTGCTTGTCGATGCGTCTTTAAAAACTCTTTGAATAGACTGTAGTTAGTTGACAATGAAAAAAAAATTTTTTTTTCCACTCAACACTTCAAGAAATTGCCTCAAACTAGAGTCTCTCATTCTTTGATCTTGCCATAATTTACGATTACGAAAGGAAAGGCCGCAGACAAGTGAACCATCGAAGCCAGAACCAATGAACCAGACCGAATTTCCCCCCATTTTTGCGGCCAATTATCGTCTTGACGTGTTCGTCTTAAACTTTAGCCGATTAGCAATACTATAGGGGGAAAAAGTTCAGAAAAAAAACGGAACTTTATTCTCACACCACCGCTGTAATCAACGTAACAAATGATCTGTGTGTTTTGGTGGAAGAAGTGATTTAGTGGGTGATGGAGAAGATGGAAAAAAAGCGGTCACTATAGGGATTTGAAGAAAACCGCCCTTGTAGGGGTTAATATGAGGTGGTACCTGTAGGGATTCAGGATCGGACCAAAACGCCCTTAGAAATTGAGTGATCCCTATAGGGGTATTTTTTTTCGCATGGAAATGCTTCTTTGCATATAGTTCATGACAAAAAAATCGGCTAGAATGTCCCCTATAGGGGCCCCTTTTCCAAGTTTTAGAGTGGAGACTTGAAGGGCCTCTAAGGTTGCCCCTGTAGGGATCACTCTGAAATTAGTAAACTGGAAAAAAAAATCGGCAAAAAAGCAATGAAATAAAACAAAAAACGCCAGAAAAAAATTCTTCAAAAAATATGAAAACTTTGGTTTTCATCATTCAAAATGCATTCTCCATGAATTTTACAACACTAGAAACATAGTATAAGTCCATAGCCCGTTTTAAAATTCAAAAAATACATCAAAACAAGAAAATTTAGGGAAAAAAATAATTTGAAAAATGCGCGTAAAGTCCAGTGCATTGCGGCGTGCTTGCGGACTTTGCCTACCGTAACCTTTAAAAATAGTTTTAACTGCCTTTTTAAATAATTTTTTTTCTTTTTTTTCTTTCTCATAATGAAATATTGTTTCAGAACAAGTCGATATCTTCGATATGCTTGCCCTTGACGCATTATCTGAAGAAGAAGTTGAGATGGGCCCAGCAAACGCGGCGACTTTGGGCGGCTGAGCCGCATTTGACGGTTTTTTCACAAACTTTTCATGTGAAAAACGTGGAAATCTATTGCTAATAATTTTTTTAGCCTTTTTAAATTCTGTTTCTTTCAAAAAATTGAATGAGATTATGAAAAAAAAATGGTGGCATTGAAAAAATTCGTACAATTCTTTTCAAAGGTTAAGTTTTTTTTGGCAAAGGTGACTGTAATAACGAAGAACTGACTAAATACCTAAAGGGACCACTTGGATTTTTAAAAAAATGTTCTTTCCTCTAACCCCTAAAGAGATCACTCTGAGGTTCCTAAGATTGTGTCTTTTTCATTTTTCTATGACCTCAAAGTGGAGAGAAGAGAGCGCAGACAGGTTAGACTGTGGAACGCTTGAATGGTCCCTATAGGGGCACCTTGAAGATTCCACTCTAGGGGCCACCTAACCTCCCCCGATTGGGGCATTAAAGCATTCGAAAGTGGTCACTTTAGGTTGTTTTAACAAAAAATTGAAAGACCCCTATAGGGACCACTTGAGCTTAAAAGCCTCAGGAAGTCAGAATCTGAACCCCTATAGGGACCACTTAAGCTTTTCAGGGCTCAGGAGTCCAACCCTAAACCTCTATAGAAGCCAACTTTGTTTTACCCCTATAGGGACCACTTTTTTTCGGCCCCTATAGGGTCTTTCTTCCCCCTAACCCCTATAGGGACCACTCTGACTCTTCTAGGTTGAATTTTTTTCTTCCAGGACGTTTACTGCAAGCCGCGACGATTGCTGGTGGCGATTTTTAAACTCGGCGAAAAATTGAGAAAAATCGACTCCGCTTCCAGAAGTTTCCTGGCGATTTTGACAAGATCTGCCGTTTCTGTCGTCATTTTTAACGATTTATTGGTTATCAATGAGGTTTTTTGAGGCTTTTTAAAAGTAAAATATCGATTTTTCAGAACAAAAATGTCAATTCCCATGCGTTGAAGTTGGTTTGGCTGGAAAGAATCGACGACGATTCTTCGGTGACGGCGAAAATCCTGACCCCTGAAGTGGACTACGAACTGGTTTTTGTCGATGATGAGGTCCTTGGATGAGGAAAATTTTAAAAAATGGAGAAAAATTGGAACAAAATCAGGCCAAATAGGCTGAAAAAGATCATTTTTCGATGATTTACTGGGAAAACCTCTAGTGGCCCCTTAAGAGGTCCCTCAAGTTCCACTTGGAGAGGACACTTAAGGGACCACTGAAGCGACTATTTTGCGTCTTAGTGGCCACTATAGTGGTTTCACTGGTCTGAGGCTTCTAAAGAGGCCACTTAATTTTAGCCACTTGAGGGGTCACTATTTTTTAGTGGTCTAGTAGGGCCTTTTAGACTTCCAAAGAGGCTGGCTTTAGTTGCCCCTTAAGAGGCTCGTCAAGAACTACTTGGAGAGGACACTAAAGTGGTCACTAAAAACACTTCTATAGAAGTCACTATTTTGCGTCTTACCAGGGTTTTAGTGGTCTGCTAGTAACAGTTAGACTTCTAAAGAGGCCACTTGCTTTTAGCCACTTAAGTGGACACTAATTCGTCTACTATAGTGGCTACTAATACTACTAATACTATAGTGGCTACTTAAACGTAAAAACCCTAAAGTGGTTGCTAAAAAAACCTCTACAGAAGACGCCACTGTAGTGGTTTCCGTTCTCTGCGAGTATCACTTAAAACTCTTAAGAGGCCACTAATTTCTTGCCCCTTAAGGGGCCACTAATTAAGCATTCAAAGTTCGAAAAAAGACTTATTTTTATTTTTCTTCATTTCAAAAAGTTCATTCAAGGCCTGGCGAGAGTTCCAAACGGCCTGCGGAGCATGGCGCGACACGATCGAAGCCTCCCCGAATCTTGAAACGGCGAAACGGAGGAAAGCCGAACACTTCTTCTCGCCGTACTGCCGGAGTGTCGGACTGGGAGGAGCGCATTACGATGGAGAATGGAAAATGGGACGGCTTCATGGACGGTGAGTGGAAAAATTCAGTTACACTTATCCAAAAATCATCTTTTGGCCGCAATTGGAATGGCTTAAGTTGGGTTTTGAGCAACTGGGGATCGGGCTCAGCTCACAGTGGGACTTCTGAAGGAGATTTTTTACGCTGAGCTCAAATATGGCCTCGAAAATTGCCCTAGAGGCCTGTGAAAAGAGTTAGGGGCTCTCAAAAGACAATAATTTCAGTTCAGTTTTGTAGGAACTTGGGAAAATTTTAAGTGGCCACTATAGAGACTCGCCAAGGACTACTTGGAGAGGACACTAAAGTGGCCACTATTTTCCGTTTTAGTGGCCACTGTAGAGGTCCTCTATTTAGTGGCCACTTCAGTAGTTTCCAGTAACTCTGATAATTTTAAAACAAACAGATTGAACCAGTTATGTTGATCCATTGACCCCTAAAGTGGCCACTAAAATTTTTAGTGGTCTAGTAGTAGCAATTAGACCTCTATAGTGGCCACTAACCCCTTTAGTGGCCACTAAAACGTCAAAACCCTATAGTGTCCACTAAGACAAGAACTATAGCTGATTTTGGCTTGAACCATCGAAAAAAGGGTCCTGTCACGAAGAGAAAAGAGACAGTGCTTGCTTGGTGGAGGGCGCAGACAAGCCTTTTCCAAATTCCGAGAAGTTTTTCAAAAATTTCCCTGCAGACAGTAAAATAGGCCATTTTGAGCCATTCTGATTTTTCCAGTGGAACTCTGACTCTGGCCAACGGAAAAATCACCAAAGGCTGGTTCCGGAACGACGTCGCTCACGGCTTCTGCATCGTCATGCAGCCGAAATCCGTCCCCTCGAACAACGTCTTCAGCGTCTTCTACTACCAGACGCCGTCGGCCGACGAATCCATCAACTACGACGTCTTCCGTGGCGTCTTCGAGAACGGCGAGCTCAACTCCTTGACTCAGATTAGGTACGCAGGGGAACGGGAACGCCAGAGTGGTCCCTAGAGGGGTAGGGAGACCCTAAAAGTGCCCCCTATCAGACTGTTATTTAAGTGATCACTGTAGGAGCTTATTAGGATCTGGCTCTGCGTAGTAGAGTTCTCAAAACCAAACGTTCGAACGAACGTTCGACCAAACATTTTCGAACAAATGTTGAAACCAAACTTTTGGTTCAAGTTTGCTTTTTGAACGTTCAACCAAAATGAACGTTCATTTTTCCGTTCGTAAAAAAAGTTCGTTCAAAAAAATGAACGTTCATTTTTTTCATTTTTCAAAAAGTTCGTTCAAAAAAATGAACGTTCATTTTTTTCATTTTCAAAAAGTTCGTTCAAAAAAATGAACGTTCATTTTTTTCATTTCCAAAAAGTTCGTTCAAAAAAATGAACGTTCATTTTTTTCATTTTAAAAAAAGTTCGTTCAAAAAAATGAACGTTCATTTTTTTCGTTCGTAAAAAGTTCGTTCAAAAAAAACGGACGTTCGTTTTTTTATGTGAACGTTCATTTTTCTGTTCGATTTTTTTAATTGCAAAATGTAATAAAATTAAAAAAGTTTCCTGGCTCCGAAACTGACTGCGCAATATTGACCGGACACCGGCCGCTGTGGTACTGTCTCAAACATGCGAGCCAGCACGAATGTCAAAAAACAAACGGCATGCCAGCGCGCATACATCCGTTTAGAGAGAATTGTAAACTTGGAGTGACCAGACTCGTACTCTCCCCGCTCTCCACACTGTCGAGGATCTGCGCGCTGGCATGCTAATTTCAACAGAAAACGGTCTGCCATTTTTCTTCTGAGTGTCTTCCTCTGCCAATAATTCATTTCGAGTTAAATCGCACACCGCTACTCCCTGACATCATCCCTATGACGTCATCGTGGCTTGGCGATTCGCACACGCAGCCATATTATTTGATTTATTTTTCACGTTTTAAATTTATAAAATTAGATTCGACTCGAAAAAATTTTCATATTATTTCAGGCTCTTCCCATTCTTCAATTTTTTCGGCGTACTTTCAACTGAATCCATTCTTTCCGAATCGAATCCGAATCGGCCATTCAACCGAACCCATTCTTTTCCGAATCGGTTAATTATCAATCCGAATCGGATATTTTCAACCGAACCCTAGAAAATTTCCAAATATTCTTCCGAATCGGGCGTTCAATCCGAATCGGTCATGAAACCAATTTTATTCAAATTTTTTTCTTTCTTTACTATTTATTTTTCATTTAAACTCACTGTATATTCAGAAATTTAATATGATCTGGGAGAGATAAACGGAGTACAGCCAAAGCCTATCAAAACTTGAGTGTGTGCAATATCTTCACAAAGCTGAAGACTTCTCATTGCTACAGATCATTTTTTTCGGCTTTTTTTCCTCAATTTTTTTCTCGCCCATAGCCGACTTTCAGCTTTGCCCTTGACTATTTAGATACATCTGTCCAGATCACTTTTTTTCAACATTTTTTGATTTTTAACCCAAGTTTGAATTTGAAAGTATCTGGTCTATGACTTCTTTTAGGGTCGTCTGAGGTAGAAATGAAGTCGCCACAGATACTGCCAAGTTTCCTGATCTTGGCATGACTTTTTCAGATTTTCCAGACATTTTTTTAATTATTTCTTTTTCAGCCAGTCAATTATTTCGCTGTTTTTAGGCACAAATATTATCGACTGAGCTGGATGCAAGAGTTTTTTTCAAACTTCATCGAATTGGAAGTCCAAATTTGTAGTCGAAGGAGTGGATAGAACTGTCTGACGGTCCTTCACGAAGCTCGTGCTCTAGTTCAAATCCTTGAAATGAAAGAAATCACTTCAAGGGAAGATTTTTTTATAAAAAAAGAGCTGATCTTTCGCCTTTTTTTCTATCTTTTTCTAGGAACAGAACTTTCAGTTCATTTGTTAAAACTGTTCTAACTAAATATAATTTATAGTTTAAACTCAGGTTTTTTTTTTTTCTATTTATAACTTTTGAAAATATCGCCAAGTTTTTTTGTTTTCTTTAAGTTGTCAGATGGCGATTCTACTGTAAACTTCTGAACATTTTCGGAATTGACGGTGACAGTCACTTGAAAATAGCTTCGAGAGGTTTTCCTAATAAATAATCTTGACTAAAACTAGTTCTCAGTCGTTGCTTACATAGCGCTATATATAGAAAAAAATCTGCGGACTTATTAGTAAGAATTTTTTTCGAATTGTTCACTACGAAATTCATTCCGAATTCAGAGCGTTTTTGCAAAAACAAGAGTTGCAGACGGTCACGCGGAAGTCTCAAGCAGAATTCAAGTATAGGTCATTCCGCGCCAGCTTGTCACGATTTTTAATTTTTCCTCGGAGCTACAGAACCCCTTTCGGCGCTTCGCTTCAATGCTCTCGGTGTTCCCCCTTGCGTGCGCCTTTAATAAAATATTATTTCTGATTAAGATATTGCTTCAATTTCCTCTCACTCTTCTATTAATTTACGAGGTTGTTTTCGATGGATTGATTTCATTTTTCGCTTGGACTATACACACTCAGATTCTGTGCTGGATTTGTAAGAAAAAAAGAAAATCAAAAAAAGATTGAATTACTACTTTTTTTAATTGTTATTAATGAAACCGGCTGTTCGAGCTTTTTCTTGCATATAGTTTTTTGGGTTAATGTGATATAAAATTTGATGTTACAACTGTTTTTGTAGAATAGGAAAATTCCAAAGTTCCAAAATAATGAGTTTTATTAAAGGCGCACGCAAGGGGGCACACCGAGAGCATCGAAGCGAAGCGCCGAAAAGGCTTCTCTAGCTCCAAATAAACTGGAAATCGTGACAAGCTGGCGCGGAATGACCTATATTTTATACCGAACTTCACTGGTTTCATCCGAAACGAGCGGAACAAAAAAAAAATTACAGCCCAATTGCATTGACTTTATCAATCGATTTCAAACTAAAATTTAAAGTCGTTATCACGCAATATTTCTTCCGAAATGATATTTAATTTCGGTATAATCCGACGTTCATGCTGAAAATCAAACATGTTGGTAACGTCGGATTATTCCTTAATTTCCATGAAACTTGATAGGGAAATGAAATGAAAAATTTTAAATGACGAAAACCGATTAAAAATTTTTGGGCCTAAAATTTTTCTTGAAAAGATGTGAAACCTGCGAATAAATATAAGAAAAAAGAATGACTATAGCAAAATACTAATATTAAGCAAAGTCTATAAGTGATGAAACTATACAGAAAACACAAGAATTGAAAAAGAAACATTGAAGAAAAAAAAAACAACTAAAAAACGTAATTTAAGCAGGCGCCAAGAGTTTTGGCGCGCTATCTCATCGCTTTGGGACCCTATGTTCCCGTACACTTGGATAATTGCCAGTTTTTCGAAAAAATTTTTTTCCATTGCCAAAAAAATAAGTTTCTGGCGGGTTTTTTTCTCTGCTCTTTTTTTGCTTTTTTTCATTTTTGACTTTTTTTACATTTAGTGTTAGCTCTCTACAGTCAAATTACTTGAAATTATCGACGCTAAATCTCAATTTTTTTGAAAAATCTGGCCTAAAAATTTCGCTGATTTTTACTTTTGTGTTTTTATATTTTTTTATTCAGGTTTTTCCAACAACTGATATTCTACAATGAGAAGAATTAATGTTTTTAAAGTTCGTATTGAACTTTTTTTCACTTTTCTCCAAAAAAACAAAATTTAGGCCCAAAAAGTTGAATTTTTTACATCAATTTTTCATGTCAATTAAGCCTTTCAAAGTTTGAGTTATAATATCGTGAAAAGGAGTGCCGTGTCTTTATGCCGCTCTCAAAGTGATTCTAGCAAGAAGACCGGCAAAAGGAAAATAAACGAAAATTTTTAAGAAATCATTTTGCTAAATTACTTTGAATGATAATTCACGCCAAAATTTGTTTTTTTCTTTTTGAAATTTGTTTTAAATATGTGGAATTTGATCGCACTGATTTTTCACTCATTCTCAAGGCTGTAGGAAAGTATATCAATGGTTTTCGAGAGAGCTTCCAGAGACTTTTGGACCTCCTCAGACCCCTTAACACAGTCTTTTTTTTAAAATTTGCCTCAAAATCCAATTGATAAAGTCAATGAACTTGAGCTTTGATTTTTTTTTTTCTCGTTCCTCATGTTTCGGATGAAACTCGGAAGAAAACAGCTAGATGGGTTCTCGAATGGGTGAATTCTGCTTGAGATTGGCCTTCCGCGTGACCGTCTGCAAATCTTGTTTCGCATAACACTCTGAACTCTGCATGTACTAATCTTAGACTGTGTAACGATCTGAAAGAGATAAGATTTCTTCTGGCGACGCGTTTTGAATTATTGGAAAATTTGGAATTTAAAAAAAAATGAAATCAATACTAACAAGTCGCTAGCAGATTTTCTTACATTCTGAATAATTGCAACGACTGAGAATTAGTATTAGTCAAGCTCATTTATTAGGTGAATCTCGCTGAGCTTTTCTTAAATCATTATCACCCGCGCTAATGCGAAACCTGTTCAGAAATTGACAGTAGAAACATATCTAGAAAAAACTTGGCAATTATTTTAAAAAGTTCCAGCCAGAAAAAAACCTGAGATTAAACTAAAATTTCTAATTTTTGAGATTTGACCTGTAACACGATCTCCGCGCTCCAATTCCAAAATTAATCAAATTTTGAACTCGTCATAGCGCAACTGGTGAACTACGCTCAGAAGAATGAACCGCAGGAACGTCAGAAAATGCTTTCAACTCCTTGAACTACAAATTTGCACTTCCAATTCGCCAGAGACGATTTTGAATGGGGCTTCAAAAGCTCTTGAATCCAGCTCAGTCGATAATATTTGTGCCTAAAACAGCGAAATAATTGACTGGCTGAAAAAGAAATAATTAAAAATGTCTGGAAAATCTGAAAAGTCATGCCAAGATCAGGAAACTTGGCAGTATCTGTGGCGACTTCATTTCTACTCTCAGACGACCCTAAAAGAAGTCATAGACCAGATACTTTCAAATTCAAACTTGGGTTAAAATCAAAAATGTTGAAAAAAAGTGATCTGGACAGATGTATCTAAATAGTCAAGGGCAAAGCTGAAAGTCGGCTATGGGCGAGAAAAAAATTGAGGAAAAAAAGCCGAAAAAAATGATCTGTAGCAATGAGAAGTCTTCAGCTTTGTGAAGATATTGCACACACTCAAGTTTTGATAGGCTTTGGCTGTACTCCGTTTATCTCTCCCAGATCATATTAAATTTCTGAATATACAGTGAGTTTAAATGAAAATAAATAGTAAGAAAGAAAAATTTGAATAAAATTGGTTTCATTTTTTTTTGACCGATTCGGATTGAACGCCCGATTCGGAAGAATATTTGGAAATTTTCTAGGGTTCGGTTGAAAATATCCGATTCGGATTGATAATTAACCGATTCGGAAAGAATGGGTTCGGTTGAATGGCCGATTCGGATTCGATTCGGAAAGAATGGATTCAGTTGAAAGTAGGCCATTTTTTCACGTAAATAAAATAATTATATAGCCAAATATTTAGATTACGCTTATTTCTTGTGTTTCGAATGATGTCATAGTGACGTCAGGGAGTAGCGGTTTGCGATTAATAGATGATTCACGGCTAACTTGGGACGCAAAAAGGCGTGGCATGTCTGCACTCTCCACCAACTAGGGCACTGTCTCGTCTCTATTCGTGGCAGGACCCTTTTTCGCGATGGCTCAAGCCAGCCGTGAATCAGCTATAACGAAAAACTCAATATATCATGTTCCATGTCGTAATTATAAGAATATTCGCTGGAAATTCGAAAGTACGTTCAAAATGAACGTTCATTCTCGATCGCGAGTTTGTTCAAAAAAATGAACGTTCATTTTTCCGCTCGTGAAAAAGTTCGTTTAAAAAAATGAACGTTCATTTTTTTCATTTTAAAAAAAGTTCGTTCAAAAAAATGAACGTTCATTTTTTTCATTTCAAAACAGTTCGTTCAAAAAAAACGAACGTCCGTTTTTTTATGTGAAAAAGCAAACGTTCATTATTATAAGAAAAACGATTTTCGAACTTTTTTTGGTTGAACGTTTGAAAATGATATATCCTAAACTATCGAAAAATGAAAAAGTTCATTTTTTTCAAACGGTCATTTTTTGAACGTTCGGTTTTGAGAACTCTACTGCGTAGAGGTCTTTTAAGTTTTTCCCCTAGAGAGGCCACTCTGCGAGCTTCAAAGGTAGGTAGAGTGGTCCCTAGAGGGGTTAGGGTGACCCTAAAAGTGCCCCCTATCAGATTGAAGATTAAGTGATCCCTATAGGAGCTTAGAATCTGGCTCTGGGTGTTCTACTTTTTTCCCCTAGAGTGGCCACTCTGCGAGCTTCAAAGGTAGGTAGAGTGGTCTCTAGAGGGTTTTTAGAATTCCATTCCATTTTTCCAGCTTTAAAAAATGAATTTTCTTTTTTCAAATTTTTTTTACGGTTTCTTAAAGATTCGCCAGCGGGCACAGTTATGACGGATACACGAAAAATTCGCTCCCCCACGGATTCGGCGTCTATTTGTGTCCCGACGGAGATATCCACCTCGGAGAGTTCAGAAATGGTATTATGCACGGCTACGGGGTTACGGTAACCAAAAGTGAGTTGTGCGAATAAAAATAATACAAATTACAAGTCGAAAGTTGGGAAGGTCGACCTCAAAATTCATCAAAAGATGTTGCTGGAACTTATGGACACTAAAGGGGCCACTAAACTCACCCCTGTAGTGACCGCTATTCTCGGTTTTAGTGGCCACTATAAAGGTTCTCTATTTAGTGGCCACTTGAGTAGTTTTTCACCCAGTATTCCTTCCAGTACCTCTGATAATTTTAAAACAAACATATTGGACCAGTTATGTTGATCCGTTGATCCCTAAAGTGGCCACTTTTAGTGGTCTAGTAGTAACACTTAGACCTCTATAGTAACCCCTTAAGTGGGTACATCAAGAAGGGTTCTGGTCAATTTTCAGGAAGCAAAGTAATATGACCTTCCTTGACAGGAATGTCCAGTTTCTACCCATCATAATGAAAAATGAGATTACTGTTTCAAGGTTTTAATTTATAATTTATGAATCTTTGTGATTGATCTTGCTGAATTTTTGTTCTAATTCAATTTTAAAATCATGTTTAGGGTGAATTTTAAAAGATCTATGTTTACTAATTTACTGGGAAGATTTTTAGTGTCCACTATAGGGTTTTGAAGTTTTAGTGGCCACTATAGTAGTCAAATTAGTGGCAACTTAGGGGTTAGTGGCCGCTATAGAGGTCCAAGTGGCCACTAAAATTTTTAGTGGCCACTTTAGGGGTCACTGGATCAACATAACTGGTCCAATCTGTTTGTTTTAAAATTATCAGAGTTACTGGAAGGAAATCTGGATGAAAAACTACTGGAGTGGCCACTAAAACGGAAAATAGTGGCCACTATAGAGGTGGCTCTAGTGGCCACTTTAGTTTCCCCTCCAAGTGGTCCTTGGCGAGCCTCTATAGTGGCCACTTAAAATTTTCTCAGTATTCCCGTTTATATAGCTGATTCACGGTTAGCTTGGGACTCGAAGGGGGCGTGTCCTGTCTGCGCTCTCCACGAGCCAGGCGCTATCTCGTGCATTATCGTGTCAGGACCCGTTTTTCTATGGCTTAAGCCAGCCGTGAATCAGCTATATCAATTTTTCAATTTTTTCCATTTTTCCAAATCATTTTCAGTCCTGTTCTCACAATTCGACCCGGAAAAAAAATATTCTCAGAGCAAAAATTCCTCGGCGAGTGGCGCGAAGGAGTTCAGACAGGCCTTGGCACGGCAATCGATATAAATGGCGTTTTTCGGCAGGGAGAATGGCTCGACGGAACTTTCAAGGTACCCGAAATCAGGAGAAAACGATGGGAAAAATATTCCAGAAAGGAATCGTCGTGTGTCCCTCGCCCCAGGAGCCGGACTCCTATGTCGAATTCGTCGGCGAAATGGCTGGGAATGAGATTTCCAAGGTTATATTTTGGAAGGAACACCAGAGTGGTCTCTATAGGCAATTTTCAAAGCAACGAGTACAAAAAAAATTTTTCTTTGATTCTGATGATCTTGTGATAATTGTGATAACCCATCATCAGAAATGCGACGCAACTTTTTGAGCCATTCCCTCTTACTGTAGGCACCTGCGTATCTAACTATTGAAGAGTTTTTACTAGGCAAGTGATATATCAATCGATAGGTAATCCAATTTTAGGAACTTTTATAGTACAAACCATCTTGGATTACTGTAGAAATTTTTTGAGATATGGTAATTTTCATGTTTGAAAAAACGGTTTTTCTTTTCTCAGAAACCTCAGAAAAATCGAACAACTGAGAAATTTTCAGAGGGGTCCCTATAGGTATTCAAAAAAAATTCATATATTCCCTTAGCTCTGCTTGCCATCATAGCCTTCTGAATATTTTGAAGCGGGTTTTGCTAAGCTCCGCCCATTTCTGAGTTACTTTAGAAAAAAACAGTAAGACCAACATTTTTTTTTTCTGGCTTCAAACTATTTTTAATGCAAAGTACGTTTTTAGAGGTGCTCAAATCCAGGAATCTAGAGCTCAAAAATCTCGAAAAATGTCGATTTCCGAAAAATTAAAATTTTTTTCTTTTGAAAGGAAATTTTTCCCAAGTCATTCCCAACACGAAAAATGAATATTCAGAGGATTAATTTTTCATTGAAATTGGGAGCGAAGAAAACAATTTTGGTTGTACGGTGTTTTTTTACAGTAAGTCTGAAAGTGGGCGGAGCTTGATAAAATCTGATTTTTAGAATTTCAAAAATTCAGTAGGTCTCTATGGTGGAAAGAGAGCTCTTGGAAAATTTTTTGCAAAAAAAAAGTCAATAAATCATTTTAGGGTCAACTATGGCTGAATAATCGAAAAATCTGCCTCAGCGGCTCATTTTCCGGCAATATCTATCAAGGAACAGTGAACGTGGCGGAAGCCCAGTTGGTTCTGAACAAACCGGCCCCGTTCTGTGAGTTTCCCGGAACGGACGAGTGGAAAAGGTCGAGTTTTTTTTGGGTGTGAAAAGAAAAAAATGAGAAAAATGAGGCGGAAATTTCCTAAAAATTAAAAGGAAGTCAAAAAAAAGCACGATTTCGAAAAATTAACCACTCAAATAGGGTCGAAATGTTCCTTTTGAGGCGACAAAGGTTCCTTTTTTGCTGCCCTTTTGGGCCATTTTCTCAGCCCTTTTGCACCATTTTTGCTGCCTTTTCTTTTTTTCTTTACCATTTCTTGAACCTTTGAAATCACAAAAAAAAGGAAGGCTCGATATAGGGACTCTTTTTGCGGCCTTTTCGCTACCTTTTCGCAGCCTTTTTGCGGCCTTTTTGCTACCTTTTTGAAGCCTTTTTGCGGGCTTTCTACGGCCTTTTTGCAGCCTTTTTGCGGCCTTTTTGCAGCCTTTCTGCGGCCTTTTTGAAGCCTTTTTGCTGCCTTTCTGCGGCCTTTTTGAAGCCTTTTTTTAACCTTTCTTTTGACCGATTTTATCTAATGACAACCTCTTTTTTTCTTTCTGATAGTAAAAAAAGGCATGAATCGACAATAACTTCAACGGATTTCGGTCCGTAGTTTTTTTGAAAATGAATAATATCAGTTGAAAAATATAAAACACTTTTTCTGTTTTTTTGAATAACTTTTTCCGTGATCATGTGTAAGTGTACCCACTTTTTAATAAGTTTGAAACCCCCCCTCCCCCTCCAAAGATTTTTTTCTAGTCTCAACCAATTGCCTTGCAGAACCCCGGAAGCTTCTCAATGGACCTACGCGATCGAGAAACGATGGCAGCCATTGATCGACGTCTTCATGAAGGAAGAACTCGGGAGCGTCGATGGATTTGAGACGAGTGTCGCGATCATTTGGTCGAACCTCGTCGGTAGCATGAGAATCGGCAAGGAACTCGTGTCCGGGGACCTCAAGTTTGTCCTTTTTAGGGTTTCACTAGTGAAAGGGTCTTTTTTTTCCTCTTGCTGCGGCTCTCATTCTTAAAATTTGCTATCAAAACGAAAATTTCCCGAAAGTCGGAAGGACCCATAAAGGCTCCACAGAAATGTTCCTTTTTTGCTGCCTTTTTTGGCCATTTTATCAGCCCTTTTTCACCATTTTTGCTGCCTCTTTCATCTTCCACCATTTCTTAAGCCTTTAAAGACCCAGAAAAAATGGAAGCCTCAAAAAGGGGCTTTTTTGCGGCTTTTTCGCTGCCTTTTTGCTGCCTTTTTGCTGTCTTTTTGCGGCTTTTTTGCGGCCTTTTCGCTGCCTTTTTGTGGCCTTTCCGTGGCCTTTTTTGAGCCTCTCCCTTTTTTCGGCCAATGTCCTCCATTCCGACTTTGCCCGATTTTAAGAAATTTTTAAACCCGTTTTTTGAAGTATGCTTGATTTTCCGGTCATATTTTAGGCCTTGAAAAGGGTTTTTTTGAATTTTTTATGACGGATAATTTTTTTGGGGTCCATTTTTTGCTGTATTTTTAGTCCAAGCTCAAAGTTGATTTTCTGAAATTTACTTTTTCCATTGCTCTGATTCTGAAAATACTGGATCAAATTCATTTTTCACGGTTTATTTTTGAAAAAAATTTCCAAGCGATAGTTCCCATTTTGAGACTTTTTGCCGGGGTTTAGCGGCATTTTAGAAGCTGCAGAATTAAATAATTCCTTTCAGTATGGGATTCTGCGACGCTCTGGAAACGATATCGAAGTATGGAGCTGATTGGAATGAGGATTATTATCGAATGGTTGCCGAATACTGGCGATTGGTGATCTTTTATCAAAGAAAATTATTTGAATACACTTCAATTTTCAATGCGAAAGTATGAAAAAGTCAAAAATTGCATGCTACTAAAGGAGCATCGTGACGCGCGAAAAAACCTTGACGCGATAGTTACTGTAGCCCGGGCGAATTTAACAGCTTGACATGAAAGTTGAACGCACTCATTATAGCCCATTCCACGCCAGCTTGTCACGATTTTCTCTCTCTCTTACGAGCTACAGAACCCACTTCCCTTCGATTGCGTTCGGCCTGTCTCTAAGAATGCGCCTTTAATAGAAAGGAACTTAAATTTGACTCGGGAAGTGGAATTTGATAAATTTTGGTATAAAGGTACTTTTGGACACCCTGAAGCCAAAGAATTTGAAAAAAATGTTGCTCAAAACGACATTAAATAGTGAAATTCAACATTTTTCTCCAAAAAAAAAATTGGCAAAAATAAGTTGCACCAAAAAGGATTCGAACCTGCATCATAGGTTCCTTAGCGCAAGGCCGCTAGCCACTACACCACGCCGCCTGCTGATAGCTATAGTTAGCCGCTGCGATACATTCCTTTCTTCCATCCAACTCGTTTTTTGCTTGCGAACTTTGAGGTGCCATAACTCGACTAGAACCAAAAAGGCGCACTTTTTTTCAACTTTATTGGAATCAGGGTTTTCAAAAGTATATACCAAGTTTTATCGAATTCTCAACCCACTACCTTTTGCATTTCCTAGTTTTAGAAGAATTTTTTCCGTACTTTTGGTCAGGGTTGGTCCCTATAGGGAAAATCTTATAAGCGCTTAAAGGCCTCTCCCCCCTCTAGGGACCACTTAACCTTTCCTTATAGGTGCCACTAAAGCAAGCGAAAGTGGCCCCTATAGGGGAGCGTTTCAAATTTTCAAATAGCTACTGTTTTTTCCAGGCCATGGACAATTCCTACCATCCGCTTTATCGGATTTTCCACGGCTTTGTCCAAGTCTTCAACACGTCCTACAGTGGAATGGCGGCCCATAAGAATCTCCACGGGCAGGCCTTGCTGGAACTCGATCATATCATGAGCTCCACTTATGGAGTAATGAGGTGGAGTTTGAAAATCTAACAAAACTTCGAAGGGAGGCAGATTGGATATACACTATAGAGATTCTCTATTTAGTGACCACTTCAGTAGTTTTTCATCCAGTAACTCTGATAATTTTAAAAACTATGATTGGACCAGTTATGTAGATTCATTGACCCCTAAAGTGGCCACTAGTTTGACTACTAAAATTGGCATTTTTTGGAATTTTTGGAAAAGACATAAAAAAATTGAATAGATCGTATCAGCGAATATGCTCCAATAGTTATGAAAATGAGTTCAAAAATTCAGAAAATATGGTTACAGCAGAAAATTTTTTTTTTCTGAAGGAATTAATTTTTTCCTCATCGATTTTTTTGCGATTTCCGTGGAGTTATATCTTTTTCGTCTTTTGGAACTCCAGAGTGGTCCCTTTAGGGACTTTAGGGGCTTCTTTAGGGTCCTTCGAAGATCCCCCTCTAGGGACTACTTCACATCCTCCTATAGGGGCTTTTAAAGCTCGCAAAAGTGACCCCTATAGGGGACATGCTAGTCGATTTTTGTAACGAAGCCCTTGATTCAGAAAAAATCGATAATTTGTCGTTTTTTGAATGAAAAAGTATTAAAAAAGAGGAAAATGTGATCAAGATTGTCTTGTGAAAATAAATTGTAAGACCCCTGAAGGGGTCACTTGAGCTTAGGAGTCAGAAATTCCTATAGGGACCATCTCAAATTTATCCCTCTAGGGAGCACTTCTTTGTTCCTTATCGACTTTTTGACTAAAAACTCATTTAAAAAAAATTGAAACACCCCTATAGGGACCACTTAGCCTTCAGGAGCCTAGGAGTCAGAAATCCCTATAGGGACCACCTCAAATTTACTCCTCCAGATGCCCTTTTTGTGTCTTCTAGGGGCTGTTTTCTCCCTGATCCCTATAGGGATCACTCTGGCGTTTCTAGAAAAATTTTCTAACCCAACCTTAAAATCGAAATGTTTTCACCGCTTTTTTATCTTTAAATATAATGAGAGTTCAAAATTTAGTTGATCTTTTGATTCGAAAAAAAATAATCCATATATTTTTCTAGAAAATTGTTCCCGAACCTGCCGGAAGATGGGAATGATATCGTTTCCTTGGATGGACATACTCCTGAAAATTCAATTTCCGGTTCTTCTGATGAAGATGAAGCTTCAGAAAACGCAAGGAGAACTTCCAGGTCTCAAAAATAAAGAAAATTAGAATAAAAGCTTCATTTTTAAGCTCGTCGATCGAAAATCGGACGAAAATTTACATCCCCCTGTGCAATTTTGTCTATGAGGTACTTTTAAAAACAATTTTGGGTTGATTTTGATTTTCAAGGATTTTTTCCTGCATTGTTCGCCGGTGGTGTTCACGATCTGCTCATTGGCGTCCAATGAAAGGGATGATATTTATTGGAATCGGGTCGTTTATCTCAACGCCCACACGGACATGAAGCTGTTGAGCTATCTGGAGGTGCCGAGGTGACGATTTTTAGGAATTTTGAAGGGTTGGGACAGGGAAAAATTGAGTTTTAACATAATATTGTGAAAAAAAATTTTTTTGATCGTTTTCTCTTGGTTTTTTAAGATTTACAAGCGATTTTTTGATGACTTTTGAAAGTTTTTGGGTAAAATAGAGTAGGAAGGGAAATTTGAGAAGAAATCACTTCATGAAACGAAAATTTTGGGAATTTTGAAGGGTTAGGACAGGGAAAAAAAGGAGTTTTTAAGGGAAAAAAATTTCGTGGGAAAAAAAAATTTTTTTGGTCATTTTCTCAGTTTTTTTAAGATTTACAAAGCAATTTTTTTAAGAATTTTTAAAAGATCTTGGATTTATTACAATAAAAAAAATGGAGTTTAAAGGAGAATTTGAAAAGAAATCGCTTCAGAAAACGAAACTTTTTAAAAAAAGAATCTGAAAAAAATTCATAGTTTTTGGAAACTATGTTTTTAGTGAAATTTTGCTGAAAAACGATTTTTTTATTGATTTTTTTCCTAACAATTTAGGAAGTTCGCAAGTTTTATGAAGATTTGTGAACGATTTTTTTGATTCGGGAAATTTCAAAGTTCAGGATAAAAAAATTGAAATTTTTAAAAGTAATTTTGCGGAGAAAAAAACCATTTTTATGAATTTTTTTCTCAGCAATTTAGGAATTTTTCGTGAGATTTTTAAATTTTATTTCCTTTGAAGAATCAACTTTGTTTATTTAGAGAGGCCGAGGTGAAGTTTTTTAGAAAGATTTCGAAAGTTTTCAAGTTTTTGGTCAAGAAAAAATGAAGGTCTAATGGAAATTCGCGAAAAAAATCGCTTCTTTACACGAAATTTTTCAAAAATAAAAATTTTTTTCTGGATATATTTGGATATATTTTTAGGTATATTTTTGAAGAGTTAATAGATTTTTTTGATGGATCGAATAATATATCTTGTTTTTTTGGAGGGTTCGAAGTGACGATTTTTGGAAATTATTGGGAATTCTTGGGGCAAAAAAAGAGGTTGAAATGAAAAATTCGGAGAAAAATTGATTCTGGAAACGGAATTTTTCAGAAGAAAAATCGATGTTTTTTTACTATTTAGGGAAGATTCACAAATTTTTTTCCTTTGATTTGATTTTTAAGAGGTAATAGTTTTTTATGAGGATTTTGAAGATAGAAAAGTTTGAGACAGAAAAAAAAAATGGTTAAAATTGGAATTATTCCAAAAAAACTGCGACTAGACACGAATTTTTTTGCAGAAAATCGGATTTTTTTCAGATTTTTTTCAACGAAAATTTCAGAGGAATTATATCGAAGTCTTCGCTTGAAATCGTTGATTCACCAGTTATGAAATTAAAATTGATTTTTTCAGAGACCTCTGGCCCATCGATATCCCCATGGAGATGGCAGATCTGGACAAGCCGAATGTATCTTCAAAAAAAAAAAATCAAAAATCGATAAAAATGACTTTTAGAAACGCCACGTGGCCCGAAATAAGTTCTACCAACCGGCCGTCGTCGGCCTCCAACACATGACGACCCACAGTAATCCCGTCGAGAAGCTAAACTCGCTCCATCGCACTTTCGATCTCATCCAAGAGGTGTGTTTGTCTGATTTTTTTGGGCCTTCAAGTCGAATTTTTGAGCTTGGTTGGACTTTTTTTGACTCTAAAAATGAACTCTCAGGGCCTGGAAAAATTATTTGAAGCCGTTTTTTGGGTAGATGAGAAGCTTACTTCGGAAAGTTTTGTGAAATTTTATTTTTGATTTTTTCCTGATTTTTGGATTTGAAGCTTGACTGGACTTTTTTGGCTTCTTAATTTGGACTTTAAGATTATGGAAAAATCCTTTGAAGCCTTTTTTAGGTAGCTTTTTTCGAAATGAAAAAAATTTTTGAAAATTGGAAGCTTGATTGGACTTTTTTTCGGTTTGAAAGTGGGATTTTTAGAGCTCGGAAATGTTTTGGAGCCATTTTTACGTCGATCAAAAATTTTATTTTGAAAAATTTGAAATTTACTCTATATTTTCTGAGCAGATTTTATGGGTTTGAGTGGTGACATGGAGGTTCTGGACTTCATTGGATTTTTTGGCTGATTAAAACGATTTTTAGAAAGAATTGTTGGAGATTCGGAGCTTAAATGGACCTTTTCGAAATTTTTTTTCGGACTTTTAGGTCTTTTTCAGAGAGATTTGAGGCCTTTTAAGGTAGAAAAAATGGTTTTGAAGAAAAATTTAGGGCTTGGTTCAGCTTTTTTGAATTAAAATATATTTTTTTTTTGGGGTTGGCTTTAGGCTTTTAGAAGATGAAAAAATGCTTTTAAAGTTTTATTTGGGCAATTTTTGGGCTCGAAAGTCTACTAATAAATATTACTATTTTTAAACTTTTTTATTGATCAATTTTTAAAATTTTTCAATTTTTCCTTTTCTTTTCGAAGCAGCGAGACTTCATATTTTCGCAAAATTTTTTGATTTTCGAGGATTTTTTTGATATTTGATTTTTTTCCGGCTTCTAAAGGACCTTTGGAATGAAGAAAAATGGAAAATATCAAAAGAAAATTTTATCCGGAGAAATTTGAGTTTTTTTGGATTTTTTTCCAAACCTTGTTTGTAAGCAAATTTTATGCAGTTCTGAAAAAAATGTATGGCTTTTTTTCCATTTTTTTAGGCTTTTTTTGTGATTTTTTTCGAAAGCATACAAAAAAATATTAATTTATCAATTTTATTGCAAGCGACTCTGAACATGAGAATACACAATTCCAGAAAAAAAATGACAAAAAAAATGAAAAAGAAGGAAAAAAAAGAGTGGCAGCGCAGTTATGTTCTTAACAAAGGGTATACGAGAAGATTTTGAATTTTTTAGGGTCTCGAGGGGAAAAATAATGAAAAAACGGAAAAAAAGATTAAATAAATATATCGTTTAGCGGGCCTAAAGCAAAGAGAAAATTTTGAAAAAATGGAAAAAAAAATTGGGGGAAAAATACACGCATTTTGGGTGATTGATTCCTGAATTTCACAATTTTTGTATAGATTTTTTTCATTTTATATAGATTTTTTTAGCGTCAACATAGAATATCTAGACGGTGGGTAACAATTTGTGTGAAATTCCTGGGATTTGGGAAAGATTTTTGGAAATGCAATTAAAATTTTTTTTGAAGCTTTTTTGCTCTCGGCTGAGGTTCATAGAACCCAAACTTGGAGTCTGAACAGCTCTTTTTAAAAAAAGAATAAAAAATAAATAAGAAAACAACAAAAATCTCGGAGAAACTGTACATAGAAATGGCCGAAAAAGAGGTCTTGAAGAAAATTTTTAAAGGCGCATAGGGTCCGAAGAAAATTATTATCGAAGTGAAAACCATCTTCTGGAAGCTAAAATGTTTTTAAAACAGTGTTCTGAGCAGTAATCTACTTGAAAATTTGATTTTTGAAGATCATTTTTAAAGGCGCATAGGACGATTTCCTCACAAAATTTCGACGCGAAGAGCTGTTAAAATTTTAAAACTGCCTTTGAGAGACGTAAATGCAGTGAGCAGGCAAAAAAAACATCTAAAAGTCGATCTCCTCGCCCAGAATTAAAGGCGCATAGGTTCAGTTCAAAAAGAAGTATTGAAGCGAAAAGATTTCTTTTATCCTAATGATACGGTGGAAGTTTAGAAAAGCCTCTCAACCTCTTTTTTGGGCCAATCTAGAATCGAAAAGGAACGAAAAGAGAGATGAAATTTTTTCGTAACTTTAAAGGCGCATAGGTCAAGTTACGAAATTGGTGCGACAGCGAAAAGATTTTGTAGCTTTGAGGATACTGTAGGAAGTTGAACAAACCTCTTTTTGAGCCAATCTAAACGAAAAAAGGTACAAAATGGGACGAAAAAGGACTATTACGGAGCTGTTTTGGAACCTCTCCTTTTGGGGCCAATCTAGACGAAAAAGGGTTCAAAATGGGACGGAAAAGGACTATTATGGAGCTGTTTTGGAACCTCTCTCTTTGGGACCAATCTAGACGAAAAAGGGTTCAAAATGGGACGGAAAAGGACTATTACGGAGCTGTTTTGGAACCTCTCCTTTTGGGGCCAATCTAGACGAAAAAGGGTTCAAAATGGGACGGAAAAAGGACTATTATGGAGCTGTTTCAAAGCCTCTCTTTTTGGGGGCCAATCTAGACAAAAAAAAAGGGTACAAAATGGGACGAAAATGGGCTAGTCAGTGGCGGCGATCTCCTTGCGAAGGGCGCTGTTGTCGGTGCGTGGCGTCGGCGGGGCCTCGACGGCGTTCTTGCCCTGCTCGCTCTTGATGGCCTCGATGCAGAGCGTGGCGACGGCCGCCTGGATCCCTTGGATCGTCCTCAATTGCGACTGCTGCTGCTGCTCCCGGCGTTGCCTCTGCAAGTGCTGCACACCTTTTTGTTGGGTTTCTTCGATGGGAATCGTTGGTACTTTTGGTTTTCTAGGGGTCAATTTCGAAATTTGAAACTTTTCGGTTTTATCGATTTTTTTAGTAGTGAGTTTACGTCGATCAATGTCAAAAATGGCCCAATCTTGATTGAATTATGAAATTATTTAGTTTTATCGATTTTCTAGGGGTTATATGACGTCGATAAATGTTAAACATGTCTCGTTTTGGTCGAAATTTGAAACTTTTTCGACTTTATCGATTTTTTGATAGTGATATGACGTCGATAAATGTCAAAAATGGCCCAATTTGGATCGAGTTTTGAAATTTTTATGGTTTTATCTATTTTCTGATAGTGATATGACGTGGATAAGTGTCAAAAATGGTTACTTTTGGTGGAATTTTGAAAATTTTTCGATTTTATCGATTTTCTAGGGGTGATATGACGTCGATAAATGTTAAACATGTCTCGTTTTGGTCGAAATTCGAGACTTTTTCGACTTTTTCGATTTTTTATTAGTGATATGTAGTTGATAAATGTCAAAAATGACCCAATTTTGGTTGAATTTCGAATTTTTTTCGGTTTTATCGATTTTTAAGAGGTGATATGTACTTGATCAATGTCGAAAATGGCCCATTTTGGTCGAAATTTTGAAATTTTTCGGTTTTATCGATTTTCTGGAAGTGATATGTAGTTGATCAATGTCAAAAATGACCCAATTTTGGTTGAATTTCGAATTTTTTTCGGTTTTATCGATTTTTAAGAGGTGATATGTACTTGATCAATGTCGAAAATGGCCCATTTTGGTCGAAATTTTGAAATTTTTCGGTTTTATCGATTTTCTGGAAGTGATATGTAGTTGATCAATGTCAAAAATGGCCCAATTTTGGTTGAATTTTGAATTTTTTTTCGGTTTGATCTATGTTTAAGAGTGATTTGACGTGGAAAAATATCAAAAATGGCCCAAATTTGATCGAAATTCGAAACTTTATAACTACAATTTTTGAGCTCTTTTTTTGAATGTACTATTGAAATTCTATGGGCAGTTTTACGTCCAAAAAAATGTTGAAAATCGTTGAAAAAAGGTCATGTTTGAGCTAAAATTGTTGAAAATTGAGGTTTTGTAAGCTATTTTAAAGGTTTTTTTTTAAACTTTGAGCTTCTTCTATTATTTTCAACATTTCCTGAAGTCTTTTTCCACTTCTAATCTCTGAATTGAGCTCTGAAAGAAGCTGAAAAATTCTCAAAAGTAACCTTTTTCAAATAAGTTTCAAAGAATATTGAAAATGAATCGTTTTGTGTTAAAAATTGTTTGTTTCATAACGTCGATAAAAAATAAATTTTCCACATTTTGACATTTTTCGACGTGATCGGACTGCATAATGATAAAACAAGTATAAAAAAATATACCCGGAGGACGAGGAAAAGACTAACTTCGGTACCTGATACTTGGGATAGTGACGGAACGGCGAGTCGGGCCCAACTTCGTCGGGAAGATCCTGGTCCCGGATGAGTTGTCGCAGGGGTCGTCGGTGACGGTTCGAGTTGTTGTTGGCGTCTTCCTCGTCGCTTTCCGGGACTACGGGAACTCGTTCGAGGACTGGAATTTGGGTACTTTAAGGGGGTTTTGGAGATTGAGAGGAAAAAAATGGGGGGTTTGGAGATTTTGAGAAAATGTAGGGAAAGTGGAACGGTCTCCCTCAAGTCTTCAAATTCAGATCTAGGATCAAGAAAATTGGTTTTTTTACCTGGAAGAACCAGCACTGGAATTTGGAGATTTGGGGGTTTGGAGAAATAAAAGGCGGGGGGGGTTTGAAGTTTTTTGAGAAAAATGTGGGGAATGTAGATTGGGACCCCTCGAGTCTCCAAATTCAGATCTAGGATGAGAAAATTTGTTTTTTCTTACTCGTAGAACGAGCACTAGAATCTGGAGATTTTTGAAAAACTTGGGATTAAATTGGGAGTTTCCGAATCGGTTAGAAAAAAGAAGATTTTGAGCTTCTTCCTGCGTAAACTAGTATGAAAATTCAGTTGGATTCAGTCAAGTCTTCAAATTTTCATCTAGGAGAAGAAATTTGGGTTCTTCTGCACGGTTGGACGCTCTACGGAACCACCGGGATTGGTTCCAGGACCTTGATTAGAGGAGGTTCGAAAGAAATGATTTTTCTGAGATTTTTGGTAGAAAAGAGAATTTTTAAAGCTTTCTTGAGGTTGAAAAAGCAACTGAAAGGCCTAGAAAAAAGAAAAATCGGTTTTTGATAGCTCTGGCAATCAATAATTCATTCCATTATCTGACCTGTCTGCGCTCTCTTATCCCTACTCTCAATGAGACGGATGCAAATTCCAATAGTTCCAATAGCAAGAGAAAAACCAACGCTGAGCAGTTTTCCGACGAACGAACTCCTCCTCCTCTCTTGTGACTTGAATCGGCCGCACTTTCATCGGCGTGACGTCATCGTCTTCGACCAGAGATCTCAGAACACTGTGCGGCTGCGGCATGCCGCACGGCGAGACTGGCTTCGGCGGCGTCGCTGGTTCCGGGTTGGCCCGCCGGGCCCGTTTTCGTCGCGTCTCGCTCTTCGGGTGCTGTAGGGTGGCGGCGCTGGAGTAGGCCCGCGGTCGGGTGTCGGAACTCGTCGCGATCGGTTCCGGGGCTGGAGATGATGTCGCCGACAGGGCTCCGCGTTGTTGCTGGTGGTACTGAAAATGGGAAGAGTTAGAGGTGGTTTTGAAGGTTGAAATTGGTAGAAATGGGGTTCTCGCGGTCGTGTATATTTTGAAGGATCTTAGAAATTTTTCTGAAGGGTTTAGCTGGTTTTTTGAAGTTCTGCCCGACTAGAAAGGGCCAAGTTCGTTTTTTTAGGGAGCCTGGAAGGCACAACTAGTTTTTAGAAGCTTGAATATGGATACTACTGAAATTTGGAAGGTTTATAGGATTTTTGAGGCTTTGGTCGACTAGAAAACATCAAGGAGGGTTTTTTTGGGAACTTAGAAGTACCTGTGAAGAACGGCTAGTTTCAATAAGCTCAAATGTGAATACTACTGAAACTTGGAAGGTTTATAGGTTCATGGAGGTTCTGTCTTTCTAGAAAGGGTCAAGTTTGGGTTTCAGAAGCCTAAGTGGACCTTGAAAGAACGGCCAGTGTTTTTAATCTCCTGTTGTACCCAAATTTGGAAGGTTTATAAGTTCTTTGAGGCCTAGTGCGACTGAAAAACCTCAAGTTTAAGTTTCAAAGAACTTTGAGGCTCTTGTGAAGAACGGCTAGGTTCTGAAGCTCAACTTTCGGTTTTACGGAAATTTGGAAGGTTTATAGGTTTTTTGAGGCTTTCTCCGACTGGAAAACCTCAAGTTTGGTTGCTTAAGGAACCTGTTGGTGCCTGTGGAGAATGGCTAGTTTTTCTGAAGCTCAACTTTCAGTTCAACTGAAATTTGGAAGGTTTATAGGTTCTTTGAGGCTTCGCCCGACTGGAAAACCTCAAGTTTGGTTGGGCAAGGAACTCAGAGTTACCTAGGGAGAATGGCTAGTTTTTTGGAAGCTTTACTGATTTCCGTAGGATCGACTTTGCGGTTGAGATGATAGTTCCCAAAAAAGAAAGTGTTCAACATGTCGAGAAATGCAAGAGCAAGTGCATGTTTTCATAAGAAAGGCAAGGACATCGTCCCCCGTTTTTCTTTATTGAAGGGGCGGATCTCCGAGCCGAGCATAGTAAACTACAGTGCAATCTGTCGAAATGTTTTCGGCACTTCAGTGGCTGTACTTTTTGGTGGGCGGGCGGGCGGGAGAAGGCCTCTAGGAACTTCGCCCGGGACACTGTAGCCTAACTCGACTTCTTACCAAAAAGAGCCCAGGTAAAGGTTAACATAGTGGGATTTAATGTGACTCTTGAGCACGACTACACGTTTTTTGGAACTTTGGAAAGGTTTGAGACTTTCCTTGGGAAGGACCCTTTTTTGGAAGCTCTAGGAAGGTCAGGGAGCTTTTAGAGCGTTCCAAAAGGTTCTTAGGCTCTTAAGGTCTCTAGAAAGGTCTGGAAGGTTTTAGAGTGTTCCAAAAGGTTCTTAGGCTCCTAAGGTTTTTCTAGGAAGGTCTGGGAGCTTTTAAAGTGTTCCAAAAGGTTCTTAGGCTTTTAAGGTCTCTCTAGGAAGGTCTGGGAGCTGTTAGAGTGTTCCAAAAGGTTCTTAGGCTCTTAAGGTTTCTCTAGGAAGGTCTGGGAGCTTTTAGAGTGGTCCAAAAGGTTCTTAGGCTCTTAAGGTCTCTCTAGGAAAGTCTGGGAGCTTTTAAAGTGTTTTAAACATGGTTCTGAGGTTACAAAACCTTCCTGAGGTCTACTGGTATCTATAAGAACGTTTTAGAATCGTTTAGAGGCTCTAGAAAGTTCGTTTAAAGACAAGGCTCCTCGAGGATCTTGAGAAAGTCAATAAAAGGTCATGTCGTTCCAAGAGAGATAGGAAAGTCAGAAAGTCTTCTAGAAGCTCCAGAAGGCTCTTCAGAGCTTAAGATGACGTCAAAAAGTCCCACTTTTAGTCTAGTCAGTGTTCCCGACCCAAACTATGCCGTCAAGTGACTGCCCTTTCCGATTTCGTCCTTTCTGATTACGGTAGATTCTGACCTTGTGTTTTGTTTCTCATTGCGGAAAGACACTAGTTCCGTGTACGTTTTTGAGACTTACCAAATGGGAATTGATGAGGCCGAGGCTTTCGATCGTGGCGTGGGGCGGTAGGGCGGCGGCGCCGAACGGCGTCAGCTGCATGGGCGAGATCAGAGGGAAGCCGCCGAGCAGCGGGAACGTCGGCAAGGAGAGCATCGACAGCGCCGTCATGTCGTGGATCGTCGGGAAGACGCAGGAGGAGGAGGAGGCCGAGGTGGAGAGCTCGCCCAGCGAGCAGTTCGACTTTGACTGCAAGTTTGGATGGGTTAAGGATGTTTTTTGGGTTTGCTCTAGTTTTGAAGGGTTCAGAGGATTTTTAAAAAGGTCTTCTGTTCAATACCCTCTAGTGGCTTCTAGTCTTTCAAGCTTTTTCGACCCGTGTCGTGAATTCGGATCTCATCGAGTCTACTCTGATTTAGAATGGATTTGACAGATTTTTAGCCATATTTCTTGGGAATTTGGTTTTCATTGGGTCTAGTTTAAGTTGAACTTCAAGTTTGGTAGGTTTCAGAACGATTTTTGTCAAAGTTATAGTGGATTTGGATCTTGATTCGATGGGATTTTGAAGGGTTTTGGATTGATTTTTTGATTAAGTAGTGTTCTTCTGGTTCTGGTTCTATACTTCTATCGCCATGACTTGGAACCTTCTGGTCGCGTTTGAAATGGCTTTCATCGCGGTGCGGCTCAGTATTGATTTTTTTTTTGGTAGAACTTTTTGATGGTTCTTGGGATCACAGGCTTGGATATTTCGACGATTTTCCAACAGTTTCTTCAAGTTTTATCATTCTCTGCGCTTTTAGATCATTAAGCCGCGTTTGGAATGAGTTTCGATGCGTTGCGGTCAAGATTTCTGAGCTTTTGGAGCAATTTTTAAGCTTTTGGAGCGTTTTTAAGCTTTTTTGGAGATTTTTTAAAGCTTTTTTTGAGCGACTTTCCTGCAAATTTGATGCTAAAATCAGGCTTCTGCTTCTTTGAACGTTACAGAAAGGATTTCGGACAAGTTTTTCAAAAATGACTGATTTCTAACAATTATTCAAAGCCCATACCAAAAACAAGAAGAATATATCTCGAATTTCACAAAAACACAACGGAGAAAAAGGTCGAAATGGCAAAAGCAAAGAAATCCATCAAAGTCCGCATCAACTGTCGGGAGGACATATTTACGCATTTGACCTTTTTTTTTCTGCTGCTGCTCTCTTCTCTGTTGCCCTCCCCCACACTGCACTCGATCCACACAAACGAACATTGTTGGCAAATTGAGCGCGATAGACTAGACTTTTTGGCGGACTTTTTTTGGATGGAGGTGAGGAAAATACAGTGATTTTTTTGAATAGAAAAAGTTGAATATTTCATGATTTTTTTAAGTATAAAAAGTGAAAGATCTAGTGATTTTTTTGTGTACAAGAGAACTTGGAAAACCTTTCAGAATTGCAAAATTTGACTTTTTTTGATTGAAATTTAGATAGAAAAAGTGGAAATTTCAGTGATTTTTTTGAGTGGAAAAACTTGAAAATATAGTGTTTTTTTATATAGAAAAAGTTGACAATATGATCATTTTTTTATACATAAAAAGTTGAAAATGTGGTGATTTTTTTAAGTAGAAAAAAATTTTTTTAGTAACTTTTAAGTTGGAAAAAGGAAATTTTAGTGATTTTAAAGTAGAAAAAGGCTTGAAAAAAATCACTCAGAAAAAGTAAAAAAATTTGACTGTATGATAGAAATTTAGGGAGAAAAAGTGCAAAAATTTAGTGATTTTTTTGAGTAGAAAAAGGCTTGAAAAAAATCAATCAGAAATTTTTAAGTTTTTGATTTGTTGATTAAAAATTTTGTTATAAAAGAGGTGATTTTTTTCATATAGAAAAGTTGAAAATGTCGTGATAATTGAGTAGAAAAGGCTTGAACAATCATCTAGAAACATTTGAATAGACTTTTTCGGTTGAAAAAAAAATAAAAAAGAAAAAAATATAGTGATTATTGGATAGCAAAAGGCTTAAAATCTCACTCGGAGATATTTGAATAGATTTTTTTTGGGTGGATAAATGAAAATATAATGATTTCTGAGTTGGAAAAAAATCTACAGAAAACTTGCAAAAACACTGATAAACGAACTTTGGCAAAATTTGAAAATATAGACCTTCTAAAGAGAATTATGAATTCAGAGGGAAACCCAAATTTTAGAAAATCCAGAAAAAATAAAAACCAACCGATCCTGAAGCCGAAGAAACGATAGCCAAATCATTAGGAATGGCGGCAATTAGAGCCTGAAGCTCACTATTGGAAATAGGCACGTTTTGCTGCGCCATGGCGATTTTTTGTAGGTGGCACTCTAGGGGAATAATCTTCTGAAAATGGATGAGAATTAGTTTTGGAGAAAAATAGTGGGCGGAGCTGAGAAACGCAGAGAAACAGAGAAAAAGACCAAAAAAAAAATTAGGAATAGAAAGTTCCAAAATATTCTGATGGCAGCTAGGATATCAGATTCATGCAAAATGAACGGGAAAAACGGCAAAAAACGACTGATGGAATCGAACCAACAACTCTGAGCACAGGCAAAACGAGGAGCTGGTTTCAAATAAAGGAAACATTTGCAAGTCACTTCCAAAGAAAAGATAAAAAAAACAGTGAAAAAACGGCAAAAACGGTTAGAGGAACCGAACCAGCAACCCATATAACTGTAATCGACTGAGCCAGAAAGACACAAGGAACTAATAAAAGAGCAAAAAACAGCCAAAGGAACCGATCCAAAGACCTATCGGATTGTAAGCAAGCTGAGCAAGATTCAAGACAAAAACCAAAGAACAGTGCAAAATGGAAAAAAAATGATCTGATACAACAACCCATCGTGCCATATTCAAGGCTACAACGGACTGAGCCGGATCGTTTTAATAATAGTGAAGAATGAAATCGAACTGTGCCGTGTGACACTTGATGCATAGAAAAAATATGTTGAAATGACAAAAATTGACTGAAAAACGACCCGCGGATTCGATTCAGCAACCGATCGGGTCACAATCAGTAGGGCCAACGACTGAGCCAAACTGTAAAAAAAAGTTTTAAAAACTCTGTTTTTTTCTTGTATCTTTTCTGGCGGTACTGTATATCTTATAATCAAAAAAAGACAAAATTGTGAATTGAAAACGCCAATAAGATCCGATCCAGGACCTGTCAAACCACAATCAAAATAGCTACCCGGTGAGCCAAAATATTTCAAATATAATAATGGAGAGCAAAAAACGGATCCGTGCAGCACTTGATGCATGAGAGGAGGACAAAATGACAAAAAGAAAACTTCAAAATGAACAAGAGATCCGATCCAGCAATCTATTGTACCGTTTTCATGGGGGCTACCGACTGAGCCAAAAAAGTCACAAGACAAAAATCAGAAAGAAACCGAAAAAGTGACCAAAATATCCGATCCAACAACCTAACGGACCACAATCAAAATAGCTACCGACTGAGCTATACTATAATCAAACACGATAATTGAGAAAATGAAACAGATCCGTGTATGACGGCAACATTTATTGAATAGAAGATAAAAATTGGCAAAAATTGACTCAGAAACGTCCAGAGGATCCGATCCAGCAACCTATTGGACCATAATCAAAGTGGCTAACCACTGAGCCGTACTATTTCAAACACAGAAATCGAGAAAATGAAACGAATCCGTGTATGACGGCAACACTTGATGTATAGAGGTCGAAATTGGCAAAAATTAATTCATAAACGATAAGAGGATCCGATCCAAGAACCTATTGGACCATAATCAAAGTGGCTACCGACTGAGCCAAATTAATTGATACTTAATAATCGAGAAAATGAAACGGATCCGTGTATGACGGCAACACTTGATGAATAGGGGGTCAAAATGGGAAAAAGAAGGGCGGTAGGGAAGGAAAAAAAGTAGGCGTGGCCAACGAGGCGATAGTGCCAAAAAAGGGCATTTTCTCTCCGCAGAAATGCCCTTTTTTCGAGGGGCGCCGCGTGTTCCATTTCTTACGAGAAACTGAACTTATTCGCGAGTTTTTAATTGGATCTCAAATTTAATTGGGGGTCTTTGAAGATGAGAAGCTTCTGTTTGAGAAAAAAAAGTCGACTTTTGAGCGTTCAAACTTTTGAAAAATTCAACTAAAATCTAGAATTGAATTGAAAAAATTTTCAGAAGAAGATTTCGAAAAATGAAGGTTAGCACCGTAAAAAGAGCATTATGACAAGCAGAGATTGTAGAACTATCAAAAAGTTGAGGTCTTATCAGAAAAAGAGGTTTTTGGGGTTTGGCAAAGACCAAAGTTGAGGGATTATAGTACGAATTTGAGAGGAATAATCACAAAAGGAAAAAAACGGAAGTTTATTAGTCATTAGCTTCTGAAAATAGGCGAGAAATTGCAAATTTTTTAAGAACATCAAAAAGTAGACAGGAATTATGATAAGCATGATGGAGGGGCTGGAAAACAGTAAAATTTGCTTGAAATTGGCTTGAGAAGCTTCGGAATCATTCAGAAGTACCATTAGCTCAAAAAACCACTCGAAAAAAAGAAAAACGATAAAAAGAAAATTTAACGGCAAAGACGGGGACAGGATCCGAACCAAAAAGTCTCAGACCCAAGGCCTGGATCTTAACCAGTTTGACTAAGGGATCGGAATGAAAGGAAGACTCAAATTAAGCGATTTCTGAAGAGAAAATTCGACAGGATCCGAACCAAAGAGTCTCAGAACTAAGATCGGAATCTTAACCAGTTTGACTAAGTGGTCGGAATAAAGGAGAAGCCAAAATGAGCCAAATTTCTGAAGAAAATCGTCGACAGGAGTCGAACCAAAGAGTCTCAGATCAAAGGCATGGATCTTAACCAGTTTGACTAAGGGATCAGAAAGAAGGAGGAGCCGAAATGAGCCAAATTTCTGAAGAAAATCGTCGACAGGAGTCGAACCAAAGAGTCTCAGATCAAAGGCATGGATCTTAACCAGTTTGACTAAGGGATCAGAAAGAAGGAGGAGCCGAAATGAGCCAAATTTCTGAAGAAAACCGTCGACAGGATTCGATCCAAAGAGTCTCAGATCCAAGGCCTGGACCTTAACCAGTTTGACTAAGTGGTCAAAATGAAGGGAAGGTCAAATGAAACGACTTTTGAAGAGAAACTGCGACAGGACTCGAACCAAAGAGTCTCCGATCCAAGCTCAAGCTCTTAACCAGTTTGACCATGAATGGAAAGACAGAAGTATAGACTGAGGGCCACGTAGCGGGACGACAAACTGTCGTTTGGTTCTCAATTTCCCTTCACACACACACAAAACGCATAAAACGACACACAAAGCAGCAAAAGCAAAAACAGCAATTCGGACCCCGCCCACCCCGATAGGCCACGCCCACTGACACTTTTGCGCCGCCCGTCGAAGCGGGGGCAGGTGCACCTTTAACGAGGTGACTTCACGCTTCAACTCCGTACTTGATCGACCGGAAATAAGGTGGGAAAAGTGACCAGGATTCGGTTATTTATGGGTCTTGATTGGATGGGTTACTGTAGCGTTTTTTTGGAAGGATAGACATTTAGATAAGGAGATACATCATACGAAAAGCATCTCTAAACAAGTCGGATGATTTGGGTCTCGAAACGAAAAGCAATAAGTTACTGTAGATTTTTGAAGCGTTCAGTAAGGTAAAGGTTCATTATAAGACACTGGAAGACGGCTGATAGTAATAAATTGCGGCAGATTATGGGTCTTGCAACGAAGCTTTTCGGGTTACTGTAGCTTCTTTTATAAAGAAAGGAAGTTTTTTGGATTACGGTATTCGGAACGGTTTTGATCAAGCAGATAAATAATGATAGGCGTACTGAACTGAGAAGATTACGGTAGATTTTGAGGATGAATGAAGACAGATACAGTAATTCGAATAGTATATGGGAATAGGATAGGTCTATCAATAGTCTTACTGTAGGTTTCTAAAAATGATTGATTACGGTAACCATTTTTCGAGTAGGGTTAGCCCAGGAATTTGCGGGCGAGAAAGTGCAAAAAGTGAGTGAGCGGGACTCGAACTCCTCCTGACTTTGACCTTGTTGTTTATCGGACGAGAAACAAGAGTCTTCCCTGATACGGTAAGATAGGACAGAGTTTGGGTCAGAATAGAGAACGGTTTTGGAAAAATTTTCATTTTGGTAGGATGGTTATGTGTTAAACCTCGGCTCAAAACACTCTGGTCGCACTTGGAATGGCTGAAGTCGCAGCCGACATGCTTATTGATACTTGTGCGCGTAAGTCGTTTTGGGTCGGACGCGCGTTGAATTCAGAGCCATTCCAAATGCGACCTCTAGCCTCATTTCTTCTTTTATCTATAGACTGATATTAAGTGACAAAAAGGGGCTCAAAGTTCAGTAAAGAGATTTAAAAACATATTGACAATTTTGGTGTCAAAACGGAAAAATCTGAGAAACGGTTTGTTTCTGAACATCTCTCCCTTATATATTTCATCACGCGCCGCCCAAATTTGACTTTTTGGCCAATTTCTGGACGAGACGTTCAAGGAATCAGACGATAAGAATGGGGGAGAGAAACGTGACACGAATGTTCGGGAAATCAGAAAAAGTGCAAACTGGGAGGAGGGCGAATTGATTACGGGCTTTTGTGGAAGGCGATAAATAGTGCGAAATTTATAACTTCAAAATAAATACACACACACACACACACACACACTTGGAGTACTTGAGTGCTAAAACTACGAAGGTTTGGTGATGGAAAAAAAAACACAAAGAGCACGAAAAGGTCGGAAACACGTCATTTCGAGGATGATTCGAAATTGCGACTTTTTGGGTGGGAAAGGCAAAAAATGAGAAAAAAAAACAAAAAAAATTTTTGAGCTGTCTTATCGAAATTTTTAGCCCGTGGCCGACTTTTCCAAAAGGTTCCAGGACACGGCCTAGTTTTCCAAACCCTCATTTTATCGGAAAACTTCAGCTTGAAAAAAATGCAATATCAAAAAAAAAATAACTCTTTGAGCTGTTTTATCTAAGTTTTCAGCCCGTGGCCGACTTTTCCAAAAGGTTCCAGGACACGGCCTAGTTTTCCAATTTTTTTTTCGAAACTAGTCTGAAAATGTGACTTTTTGGGGGGATTTTAATTGGAAAATTGCAATATTAAATTAACATTCGAAAGAAAATTTTTAAGGTCTGATCCTTAAGCCCCTAAAGCTCAAGTGATCCCTACAGGTTCTTTCAATTTTTTTCAAGATTGAAAAGCAAGACAAACTTGTGTAAATGATCCCATTTTGATATTTTTTATTCAAAACGCTAATTTATTAAGTTGCTCT